GTATCCGTGACCTAAGGTCAGGCCAGTGGCGTGACGTTACCATTATAAGTCAATGGAGAAAAATGAAAATGTCTCTAGATCCGTGTGTACGCATAGGAACAGTCCAAATATTTCAGAATCGCAATGATTTGGACCACCCGTGACGACCAAGGTGTCTTTTTTTGCTGATAGTCTCTAGAAAGGTCATCCGAGGTCATTTGAGGCTACAAACAGATTTTTGCCAATAACTCTCGATTGGAAAGAGATAGAAAGCTGGGGATGGCCTCATTGTGTTAGTCTTGTTGAGACGCATCGACTGATATGCAACATGACCTTTTCCGGTCAGGTCATGACCTTGACATGAGGTCAAATTTTCAAGTTGGCCTTTTAAGGTCAAATTATAGTTCATTCGACGCGTCTCGGTGACAGGAACACGATTCTGGTAATACAAAGTTCGTGGCTTTTTTATTCAAAAGTTATTGCCGAAAAACACTTTTCGTAAAAACGTTTCGTTCTCGGTTAGTCTTGTTGAGACACATCGACTGATATGCAACATGACCTCTTCCGGTCAGGTCGTGACCTTGACATGAGGTCAAATTTTCAAGTTGACCTTTTAAGGTCAAATTATAGTTCATTCGACGCGTCTCGGTGACAGGAACACGATTCTGGTAATACAAAGTTCGTGGCTTTTTTATTCAAAAGTTATTGCCGAAAAACACTTTTCGTAAAAACAGCTATTTTTGGAGTTATTGCCCTCTGGATTCTAAACCGTTGACTGAGGTCAATTTTGATAATGACCTTATCAAAAGAAGAGTTCAAAAGCTATCGATTGCTTTTCCATGCGTTTTTCTAACTATCATAGTTCCTGAGAAAACGGCATGTTTTCTGAAAAGTATAATGACAATTGGCAAATTTTGATCTTTGATGACCTCTGGTGACCCCAATATTGCTCTAAGATGAAAAATAACTGAACACTTTCAAACGTATGCATTGAGCGCTATCGACTGTTTTTTACCGCGTCTTTCTAGCCCTCTTAGTTTTTGAGCTAGAGGTGGGTGGTAACATATGCCCCCCCCCCCACTATGGCGACGTTGGCTTAGACCGCCACTGGGGCGCGGGTTAGTAATAGAGAGCTGCAGTACCTACCTCACTTTTATTCCAGCCAAGCCTTGCGACACCTACCCCATTTTCAGGTCAGGTCTTGTCACTGAACTATGACGTCATAAGTCAACCTTTGCACGATCCAAAATGTCGAAACTTAGCAACGCCATCAGTGTTAGGGAATTAAAGCAAACTTATCCCCATAGAAGCTGTCAAGTTCTCTTTCTTGTCTTAACACGCGCAGTGGAAGGGGGGGGGGGGGCGGATTTCGCCCACCCTTCCTGTTTTTCGCCAATAACTCGCGCCGCAAACATAATATTAATGTAAAATTTTGGCTACCTGTCCAGAATTGAATTGCGGATCTTACCGTGCCAGAAATGAGAAAATCGGTTCACAACTTTTCTAGAAATAGCGGTGTAAAGTCAAACATCCTGCCGCGGCGGCGGCGCGGCGGCGCGGCGGCCGGCGCTAGCCGTTACGCGCCGCCTGAATTGTAGACTGTGCCGGGGCGGGACGGTTACGTCTTTACATCGCGCTCCTTACCGCTGATTACATTAGATTTGCGTCAAATTTGGTGAGAAGACTGAGAAATGTACAGGCAATCGTATGGTCAAAGAATTTTGAAAATCGGCCGGTAACAACTTGAGTTATGAGTGTGTAAACACAAAATTGTGATTGCCGCGTTTCCCGCGTCGGCCGATCCCGCTTCAGCCGGCGACATCTTACCCTTACCAGGCTTCTAACCAGGGTTGTATACGACTCAATCAATAGCAATCAATTCAATCACGACAAATTTGGGAAACCAATCAAATCAATCAAGTCAGAGCAGTTTTCGGGAATTGATTCAATCGACTCAAACGCGACAATGAAAGGAATCAATCAACTCAATCAAACGACTCAAACCAAGACATACATTAGGTTTTTTGCCCCACCAACTTGGAAAAGTGTCCATAGCAGTCTGGTGTACCTACCTACCTACCTACCTACCTACCTACCTACCTACCTACCTACAGAAGAAACATAAAAATTTTGTCATTTAAACTTATAAATTGCCATGCCATTCAAACTTTCTATGTAATAAGGAAGGATATCTAGTGATGGACAGGTGGATCATGATATTGAGGTTCAATGGGTAGAATTGGAGCAGAAGTGTCATTTATTGGGTGCAAAATGACCCAGTAGTTAGTTGACTCGCCCCTTAACCCAAATCACCACCTTTCACCTAAAAGTTGTCAATTTAATTTTGGTCATATTCCAACTCCATTTACACTAAATATCAGATATTGCAGTTGAAAGTTGGCTGCTCGGATTTTGGCAGTGTTCGTGATTTGGCCATTTACCCTACACCATGTCTAGTTTAATGGATAATATGCATCAATAACATATTAACCATAAGGAAATATCTTACCTGCATCATGCATGTGACGGTTTCGGTTATACAGAGACTGACGGGCAGCCTGAAAAATCATTCCATACAATGTGCATTTGAGACATGGGATGTTGTCGGATTGGGAAGGAAGAGATTTGAAGTATTTAGCGGTCCACGATTCTGGACGTGGCATGTCAATGTTAGGTACCTATGTATGTGAAGAATTCAAAACATTTTATTGCAATACAATTTGAGACTGTTAGGACTGGGGGATAGGGATGAGGATTAAAAATATAATTAAAAGGAAATGGAGAGGACAGGGACTCTGGGAAAACGGCACGGCGCGACTGCAAAACAACGAAAACGTTTGGTTTTGCCAATAAGTATGCTAAGCTTTTATAAATCCTTATTCTACTTCTTCTGACTTTGCGGTAAGATGACGTCATTGATTATCATGTAGTGTGGTAGATCATCATAAAATAAATCGATTGTACAGCACTAATTTCGTTTTAATTATTATTTCATTTGAAATAAAAACACTTAACAATATTCGGTAAATATTTTAAGGAAAATGAAATATATTAAATATGTTATGCTTAGGCTCTCAGGAGAAAAGGATCAACAAACGTTCTGCTGCAAATTAAACAATGCAGCAAAGTAGCTATCAATTGTACGTAAACGTAATCAGCGAGACGAAAACGGCGCTTTTGTTTCAGTTATTTTTGTGGGGGTTTCATATATTTATAGAGTTCAGTGGGTTGTTTCTGAGGAGATGTGGAGATGTGAATTATTAATTAATCACACTTTATTAGTATGTAGGGCCTTGCACTTTATCATCTGGATTAAAAAAAAAAACGTTTCCTGCTGAGTGCAGAAAGGAAGCTAGGTGCATCGCCAGGTTCTAGATTGGTGCAGTTATTGCAGTCGAAAGTCAACGTTGGCTGTTCATGTTGTTTAGGCCCTGTTCTTTATTTGGCTATCTACCCCATATTGGAGTTGTGATGACAAGCAGTTTTCAGTGTAGTTTTGTGATCTTTGGTGTCAGCAATTGGTGTCATTATTTTTCGTCAACTAAAACTTATTTGAACTTTCCATTCAATCGACTCAATCATACGAGTCACTCTAATTTTTGGGAATCAAATCAGTCAACCAGTCGCTAAAGTCAAACGAGTCAGTCAACCAGTCATCTCGAAAAGTCAATCGACTCAATCCAATCAACTCAAAATACGCGTTGAAACAAATCAATCAATTCAATCGACTTGATTGGTATACAACCCTGCTTCTAACTGCCATATTTATTGTTGGATTAACTAGAAATTCACTCTACATACTCACAAATGTTTGGTCTTTCGTATAGTGAAAGAAAATTGAAAATCGGTCGGTAACTTTTTGAGTTATCGGCGTGTAAACGCAAAAAAGTCGCAAATATGGCAGATTTGACCACATTTGACCTCATTTGACCTTAAATATATTGACCTAGAGTCATGAAATTCACACACAACAGAGTTCCCCATGGCCTTCACCTACCCTCCAAATTTCGTTATTCTAGCTCCAGTGGGAGCTGAGATCTTAGGGGGGGGGGGGCGACATCCGCTCCCCCTTCCACTGGGCGTAGTACTCGCAACCCTTCCACTGCGCGTGTTAAAAAAAGACAAATATTCATCGATTTCAGGCACTGCGAGAGGATATTTGCCAGAATTGCTCTTGGATCCGCCAGTGGACCGATACACATCTTTTGCATGGTTTAACTTTGTGACGTCAGGTATGATGTCGCTAATGCCACCAGAGTTTTTCGTCAATAGTTTTCGATTAAATTGCGGTAGTGTGTTTGGAAAGCCACCAATGGACCCAGAAAACCTGCTGAATCGAATGATATGCAACATGATCCCCTTCAACTAGCTTCGTGATCTAAATGGCCTTGAGCTGACTTTGACCTGAGGTCAACACCCTTAGTTGCTTTCACCTTAACAAAAAGCATACCATTTAATGCGCCTGAGCACAACGAACATAATTGTGTCAAAAGCGCGGTTCCGCACCTGCTTTGGCGAGTTTTTTTTTTCACCAAATACCTACCGAGCAAAGTTATTCATCACATGACCTGACCTCAGAGGTCAGCGGTTGACGTGGTGCCTTATAATCTTATAATCGGGTACAAATTCTATGCATTGTAACGGCACACACGCTCGCTTTTTCGTGAGACTCTTGCTGCATGAGGGGTAAATGGCGAGAGAGTTCCACCCACCCCCGCTGTGCGTATAAAAAATCGATAGGATCGGCGAGCCTAGGGTTGATTGTGAAAAGACGAAACTTGACCGTAAACTAAGTACAGCTTATTATTTTTAGATCCCTTTAAAAGCGTTTTCCCTTCCTAGACCTGCGAATACCATCGCTTTTCATTCTTACCCTCCGTATTCCTCCACCACTCTCCCTCTCTGTGATTTCCTTTCCCTCACTCTCTCTCCCTCTTTCCCTCTCATTCATCCTTTTCCTCTCCCTTCTCCCCTTTCCTCGCCCCCTCTATTTCCTTCAACACTCCCATAAAACCAACGACCTTGACAGATACATTTATTCTATGTAGTCGGTACATTGAATGCACATCGAAAAATATAAATTAAGGAACAGTATGCAGCCGCGCTCGTCGGAACGCTGGACCGGCGAGGCTGTACCTATACGGCTGTCTGACTCTCGGTAAGTATGCTCGCGCATACTTCGTACGACTGAATGTGTGCTGGTGTATGTGTGCAGGTGATAGTGAAAGTGTAGGCTGTTTATGTTTGTATGTGTAGTTGTGGTTCTGTACACGCTCATACAATGCTCTCAGAGCACACGCGGGTCGATTGAGGCGGCATCCATGAGACCTTCCGTGTTCAGGACTGACATCAGTGGGTCGTCCGCTCTTTTCCAACAGTGAGACAATCAACACCAGCCCTTAGGAAAGGGGCAGACGTAAAACCGCCCTACATGGGACGCCCGAATTTTTGTGACACACATTTTTGTTGTGACGTTTGTAAGAACAAACCAAGCAGCGGGAACAGACACAGATAGAACACTGAAACTATGCAGCATGACTTTGTGATAGAATGTGCACGTGCAAACAGTGAAACGCAGAGAACACAGACGACCCCGGAACACGAGGAAGAGATCACTGAATTAGAACGATGGAGCAGGGCTGCCCGCCAGCCGTCATCCCTCCCCGCAGTCCGTTAGTTATTAACACACGCCTGACGACAGTCCGATCCGAGCGGTCCGAACCGGCTGAGAACACTCCGACCGACCGACTGACCACAGCTGGAGGTGTGGTCACCGACACTATGACCCAAACATGACCCCGCCAATGACCCCCGCGACCCAGCGGCTCACACCAAACACAGAGAAAACCGAGACACAGGGCGGCAATGGCGCACCGCCCGCCGCCATCCAACACAAAATCAGTCTCAGCGGCCGGCCGGCCGGGCCCGGGATCCGCGCATTCTGGCCGGCCCGACAACCAGACTCGCTCGCTTGTGACTAGGTTCCCTCCCTTACTCTCTCGTCTCCACACACCCAACACAGCGCGCCACCAGCGGAACACAACGGCCGGCGAGGTCCCGACCAGCGCTCAGTATCCGGCGACGCAGCGCCAGTCTCAGATGGAACTTCCTTGGTCCCGCCCGAGCCCTCGACAACCCCGTGCAAACTGCCCACGGTCCTATTTGGTTTGTGCAATAGCCGCCCTGTGACCGGCCTCTAATACTGGAGAATATTGTACTTTACCAGCACACGCACACACGCAATGGATTATGTCATGTCATTTCACTAGTTAACATCGGCTGAGCGATGATTGCACTAGGCCTGATACAAAACGGCGGCGGCACTGCCCGGGCCACGACACTGACCGGGTCACCGCGCTGCCCGGGTGACGTCACAGCCACGGACGCTCGCCATTGGCGGACGGGAGCGGACGTCAGTGACCGGGCAGCACCGGCGGCAGCAGGCCCGTCTTATTGTTCTGACTGACCACACACTTCCGCATGTGCTTCTCCAGGGTCGAGGCCACAGAGAAGGGCATCGTGCAGAATCGGCACTGATAAACGTCCTTGCCCATGCGCCCGTGGGTTTTCATGTGCCGCGTGAGCTTGCTGCTCTGCGCACAGGCGTAGTTGCACATGGTGCAGTGGTAGGGCTTTTCACCTGTGTGCGAGCGCCTGTGGACTGTAAGGTTAGAACAGTTTTTGAACACCTTCCCACAGAACTCGCAAGTGTCGCGGCGGCTACGCTCCCGTTTGGGTGACGGCGAGTCGAGACCGATGCGGCTGCCCGGCTTGGGAGCGAACGGCGCGTGCAGGGGCCGCTGGGCCGCTTTCAGGGCACCCTCGGAGGCGGCCTTGGCGTGACTGAGGAAGTCGGGAGCTGAGCGCGGCGGGAAGGGGAACTCTCGCGACATGGCCATCGGCGGCAGCCAGAGCCCCGAGGGCCAGGTCGGCATGCCGGTGTCGGGTTCCCGACCAGCCAGGTCCAGCTTCAGGCGGCGGGCCGGGTCGAAGGCGGCTTCCAGCCCGAGCAGCGAGCCGCGACTGAGGTCCAGCGCCGGCTGGTGGCCCATAAGACCGGCTCCGAACTCGTCCCGCACTTTGATGGTGCTTCGCTCGGTCCGCTCCGCCGCCTCGCCCTCCGGCGCTGAGTCCCGTGCCTCTCCCGACCGCGCCTCGCCGTCCCTAGCGGCGCCATTCTCTCGTCGCGACTCTCCTTCGCGAGACTCTCCGAAACGCGACTCTCCGTCGCGAGTCTCGCTGCCTCGCGTTTCGCCGCCCTGTGCGTCGCTCTCTCGCGTTTCGCTAGCGGGCGCCTCGCTATCCATGGCGTCGCTATCGGGTATTTCGCTGTCGCGGCCGTCGCTATCTCTCGTCTCGCTATCGTGTGTTTCGCTGTCAAGCAGTTCGTCATCACTATGATTGCTGTCGCTCAGGGGGTCTTCGTCCTTTCCCGATTCGCGTAGCGCCTGCTTGTACGCATCCCTGTAGGTGTTGATGTTTGAGAGTCCAAATTTGTCCATCAATTCTCCGACCAGCGATGATTTTTCCGACGATGGAGTCGGCGGCAGGTTGTTGTTGGGGGTGAGCGGAGCCGGCACCGGCGTGGAGGTGGTCGACTTGGTCGACAGATCCTCCGGCCCATCCACCTCAGCCGTGACGGAAGAGTCCTCGCCGTCCTCATCCAGGAGCTCCTCTTCTTCCTCTTCCTCCTGGACGCTGGCGTCGTCGTCCTCATCCTTGACATCATCGCTGGCCTGCGAGTTTTTTTCCACACTGAGTTCGAGTTCCTTCATGTGCGTCTTCATGTGCCGCTTCAGTTTGCTGCTCTGCGTGCATGCGTGGCTGCAGATCTTGCACTTGTACGGCTTCTCACCGGTGTGGATGCGCCGGTGCACGATCAGGTTACTCTGGAACCGGAACACCTTGTGACAGTGTTCGCAGGCGCGGGGCCGCTCCTTGCGGGCTGCCTTTGGCGGACCGGTGCGCGGGGCAGCTGCCGGTGGCTGTGCCACGGGGCTCGGACTGGACGTGCTCGGTCCGGCCGGAGAGCCGAAGGGCGGCGGCGAGACGCGAGCCCGCTTGGCCGGCGGTGTGAGGAGGTCGGCAGCAGTTGGTAGCGAGGCGCCCGCCAGCTGCCGCAGCCGCTGCGAGTAAAAGTCCAGCGGCTCCATGGGGAGGGAAAGCGGCGGCCGCGGCCGCGGGCCGAGGTCAAATGGCGGCATCGATAGCGGCGCGCTCAGCCGGAACTGCTCTGAGATGATGTTCTCCATGCGGAAGTTGTGACTAGGTGGCCGGCTGAACGGCGCGTTCAGCATGGAGGGGAACGGCTTGTCGGCGCCGAGCGGCATCCTCAGGAACGGCAGCTCGAAGCCGGCGTGTGTGGAGGAGGTGGGTGCCAGACGCGTGGAGACGGGCGGCAGCGGGGGCGGCGGCGGCGGCGGAGGGGCCGGCTCTGGCGCACACCGCGGCGGCGACGGTTGCCGCGGAGGAGGCGACGAGCGGCGCGGGGAGGGCGATCTCCGGCGCGGCGGAGGAGGGGACGGAGTGGGAGCCCGGCAGGCTGCCGCCGAGTGGTTCTCGTAGATGTTGACGCCGTGGTCTTCCTGGACATGCTGCACCAGCAGCCACGCCGAGTCGAAGCCTTTCTTGCAGGTGAAGCACACGTACGATCCGGGCTCTGAAACAAAAACAAAAGTACATTAGAGACCTGATCCAGCTAAGCCTTCCCCGCACATAACTAACTCAGCTTTTAATGCTATTTCACACATTTTACGTAACATGCAACAGCTAAACTCAATCACAAACTCGCTAATACGCTGAGTAACTCTTTTTTTTGTCCCGAGTCTGTCTTTAGACCCAGCTCAGTTGGTACCGATCCGGCTCCGCGCGTGCTCTTTCCGTCAGCTCCATCTCGGCCTCCACCGCTCTCCGGCCGGCCATTTTTACCGTCGCCGCCGTCCTGGAGAGAGGTGTTTTTGTCGGCAGGCCGCGACCATCCGGTGGCGGAGGCGACGGCCATTCCGGCCCCATCTCCGGAGAGGTCGCCTAATGAATCAATACGGCGCGCGCTAGGCAGGCCAGCCGGCCGGCGGAGGCACAGCGCGCATCATCAACTAGCCGACTGGTGGGCACTGGGCAGCAGAGAGCAGTGGAGATCGGTGGAGACCGACGGAGACACACGGAGAGAGACGGAGACAAGCGCAGACAGGCGGAGGAAGAGCGGTTACATGATGTGCAAACAGCCGGAAACAAAGAAAAAGACAAAGGTGACAAGAAGTAGAAACGTAGACATTTGGAGAGGGATGCTGATAGAAGCAATGAAGGTCGTCTGAGGGACAACGAATAGTAGCGGGGACAATCGAAGCTAAATGAAAGTGGAAACCATGCTGATTGAACTGCTGATAAAATGTAGGATCAGAAAACCTTACAAGACCAGAAGATAGGAGCGACTTTAGTTCGTTGTTTAATTAACCCTATGATTAGGTTAGAAGAGTCCAAAAATGAACACGCAACCTTTACGACATGTGCCGTAGGCAAGTGTGCTCTCCGCTTGGTAATCCTGGTGTGAGGAACTTATACCCACCAACTAAGATATCAGGAAAAGGTCATACGGTCAACTTCCAAGGTAAACACAAGGAAACTAGAAAGATCACGTAATTAATCGCTGGTGTAACCATGTAATCATCCCCCCCAAATTACGCTCTGACACACAATCCATACCAAAAACCCATGAGTAACCTCTCGAGGCTACCGAGTTCCATCCAATTTTCATGGAGTGAGTCCAGAGATGAACCCCAGCACGACCGTCTGGTCCATCTCGGTAAGTTACGTGACTGACCGTCTCACGCCTGCCAGCCAGTCTGTCACCGATTAAAGCTGAGATTAATATCCGGCGCCGGCCGCCAAGCCACTCGGCCAGATTGATCGAGACCGTGATCTACGCTCGTGTGGCGATCGCTCGGCGCGTCCGACGGTGTTATGCCAGCCGGCTCTCGGGGGCTGCCCAAACACCTCCCCACCCCTTCTCAGCCGTTTGGGATGTGGGCCGGTTGATCGGTAGATGAGCCCGTTAGAGGCCCCCCGGCGGCGCAGGAGTAGACCATGACACCACCGATTCCTGCTTCTCGCTGTCCTGACCGTTTGACCTTCCGCGCCCACAAAACGTTCCAATCTCATACACGTTAATTCAATTTGGAGCATGTGCGTTGCCTGGCCACCTCAGTCAGCCCGTCGGCCCGTGGGCTAGCCCCGAGGGACAAACAATGCATTCGTAATCGAGCGGTCAGGTTTCGCAAAAAGGTGGAGGCGTCAGGGGCGGGTTTCGTTGTTGTGGTTACCCATACGGGCGGGATGGGGGCGGACTGGCTCCACCCAGTTTAGACCCACTCAAACGTCAGACTGAAATCCGTTGTTTGATAGTGACCAAGTACTGAGCATGGCACATCAGATGCCGTACTTCACACATGACCGTGAAGTACGGAAGTGCATGATATCAATTATCGTCAGAGTTGAGTGCACCGTGCCCATCACCGGTTTCAGCTGTCTCTGTTCCGCTGCCGCTTTGAACATCACATTCTGCGCAGCTCCCGGACAACATTATCACAGCAAATTACCGCTGTGACGTGTCGCTCCCCGCCTGCACACCAGATCGGCCGGACAGGCTCGCCCGATGGCATCAGTTTAACTAACGCGCGACACGGTTTCGCCATCTACCCCTTCCGGCGGCGTTCAATCGGGCGCTGGTCGCCGGGGGACGACCGCCAGCGGTGTCCGTCAGCGGCCAAATGAAGACTGGCGGCGCGCCGGCCGGCCGGAACAGCCGACATCGCGCCGCGCCGGCGGCCCTCAAACATTTACAGGGCCGGTCTCACTCCCAGCGGTCCCGTCGGCCGGCGCCGCCTGATCTTTCACTCAGTGGGTCGTCATTTCATTTCATTGTTTCAAATCCGACGGCTTAAATATGCTCCTCCAGCTTGGATTTTCTCTGGTCTACTCTCTTCCGTTTCTCCTTTTCCCGCGCGCTCTTTGCTCTCTCCCTTTTTATTTTTCTCTCATTCTTTCTCTTCCCTTTAAATAATTCATTAATGCATGCTAATTTCACCTATAAATGGCACCTGAAGTCAAGTAGCTGAGGAGGAACACATTGCTCGACGCGTCAAACGGAAAATGCCCCGAATAACGATTATTTTTTTTTCTTAGATAAGAATAACCGATCATCAATGACGTAAAATAACAGATCAAAGGCATACGCCACCTTTCTATCCTCCGACTCATCACTCTCTCTGTACATCCCTCCCTGCGCCGCCGCTCTGCCTTCAGTGACCCCCGCTGCCACCGCGCGTGCGGATCGTTACTGTTTTTCATCGCTCGTCGTCGCCCGCCGATGCCGTCGCGGCTGTCTGTGTCGCCGGGTGCCGCTTCCGGACAGCCATATCCGGCGCCTTCTGCCCGGCCACCTCGCCGCTTCCGGTCTGTCGCCGCTGCCCTGGGGCGACCGACGGTCATTTCTGGCTGCCGGACCGTCTCCAAGAGGACCCCCGCCGGTTGGGTGGGTCGTTCGCGGGCCGTCTCGCTCGTTTTGAACGCCGCTCGCTTCTCCAAACAGGCCAAATCGGGCTTGGTGTCGACCGGCCGGCGGGGGGTGGCCGACGGTCAGCGGGCGGTGGGTCCGACAGGCCGACAGCCCGACAGGCAGACAGGTCGACAGGCGGGGTCGGCGAGACAGGCACACGGCGCAGGACAGGCCGCGGTGGCAGACAATGCGGGGTCGGCGCTCGTCATCGAAGGGCACCAGAGGTCACCGCTGGGGCAGCGGGGGCGGGCGGTCGAGCGCACCACCGTCCGACGCGGCGCCGTCCAAAAATACAACCGATGGGTCACGGTTGTGACGCCAGAGGGGCCACACCGCCCACCGGCCAGTCACTTGGGATGTCCTATGAGTCTGATGACGCCACAGTGGTCTAGTGACGTCACAGGAATACGTGACGTCACGTCCGTCGGTGACGTTTGGGCGTTAATCGCGCGCGGCCTCCCCAGTGGCCACGGAGACAAATGAGCTGGGCTAGCTGACGGCGGCCAGAACGTCCGGTGGACCCGAGGGGCCAGTGGGGCGTGACCTGCCTGCCAGAATCCTCCCCGCCGCTCCCCAGAGTCCCCACTGTCCCCACTGAGCCACCGGCCCCGCCGACACACAGACGGACACACAGAGACACGGCTCATCGCCGGGGGCGGCCGCGGCGAAATGGACCGGCCAGCCACTGAGCCGGTGAGCCTCCGTCGCCCTGCGCGCCAGGGAAGGGCCATTAGAGACGGCTCGTCACCGCCGCCGCTGCCACCGTCACCGTCGCCGTTACCGACGCCGTCGAGATTGACATGGGGCGACTCGCCGAGTCTGTAAAGCCCCGGGCTGCCGTCGGAACGGTTTGTATCTTTTCCACGTGAGCTTCTTCAGATATTCTTCAACTCAGTGTGGTTAGAAGCCGTCAAGACTTTATCAAAAAAGGGATTTTCACGCGTTACTATCCACTTCTGTGTGAGCATCTCACATTCATATTTGTGATGTGAGCTGCATTTGTATACCCGAACCATTTATCAAGCCTTGCATACCATATCCTCATGTCTCATGATGGACTGTCAGAGAGCATAACATTTTCGCTCATCTGGCGTATCGCGCTTTGTGGCTCCATCCTGGCTCCGTGAGAGGCCACGGGCCCTCGGAAGTGGTCATTACCGGTCGTTGGGAGCGGTCGGCAGCGGTTGGGGTCGGTCGGCAGCGGTCGGGGTCGGTTGGGGGGCGGTGGGGGTGGTGGGGACGGTCGTATCGTGCCGAGAGCAGGTCAGGGCAGTCGGGGGTCAACATGCATGTCATGTGGGCGTTCAAAGCTCGTTCTAGCTCTGTGTTGGTTGGCAGCGGACAGTAAAGTCCACAGGAGGTGGATGGGCGTCAGACCAAAGAACAGGCACGGATATTTACCAGACCAGACACGGAAACACTTGTGTAGCTGGGCTAGACAAGGCTAGCTCAGGTTTCTGCGGTTAGGTCACAAATTATTTATTTATTTATTTCCATCATCACCAACAGGGAGCGCCCCACTAATATAGGTGAAGTCAATAAAGTAACGCACCATTGTAAAATAACTCGTGCAAGTTCGCACCCATTTATGTACTGAGAGTAGTCGGCAGAAGCACACCAAATCTTTCCTTCCTAGACGCGAACCTTCCGAGTCCCCACTCCTCGCATTCCCCACGTCTATCTCTGTCCGGCAAGTTTGTCCCGGCGTTCCAGCCGGCGCAGGCCCAGTGTCACCTGTCGAATTCTTGGACAGGGCGCGCGGCGGCGGTCGGCAGGGCGAGATGGGAATCGGCCGGCCCCCCGCCGGCTCTCTATGATGGATGAAGGAGGGCGGCCAGGCCCGTCGAGCCAGGGTCGGTCCGGACTCCGAGCCGCCGCCGACGGCTGACCTCGGTTCATGGAGTGGAGAGCTGGGACAGGGAGATGTCAGGGAGGGGTGAAACGGGGTGGTGGGGTGAAGAGGTGGGGGTGAGTGAGTCAAGGGGGTGATGGGATGAATATTGGAGCGGGGAGGAATGCTGAACAGAACAAAGGATAATTCGTTAGTGCTCCTAAATATCGGAGAACGACGGTGACCAAAGGGAAAAGAGAAAATAAATATTCGT